TTATGCTTGTAAAATTTTTTATTATGTCGTAAATACAATATAACAGTACTTCTGTTGCTCTTCAGAAAATCTATAAAACAGCAGTAACTAATTGATAAGAATATGTAATTGATAATAATATTGGTTTTTTAAGGGCAAGGTTCCAAATATTTTTAGGGCAATAAATATAAACAAGTTTAATTGTTTGGCTCAAACGAGGGCAATGTTTACTTATTTATACTTTATTATACGATATATAATTTTTTTTTTTTTTTTTTTTGAAATTCTAGAAAAAAAATTCTTACTACTTATAAATTCGACAATTTACGTATTTCAAAGTCATAAAAATAACAACTGAGCTCTGGTATGTTAAGTAGTAGCCAGAAGTTTGGAAAGGAAGAATGTATATAATTATTGCTTGTTTATAAAAGGAAATGTCAATTGTTAACTTCGTTTCTAGTTTCGCCGAAGACGGCTGTGTCTGTAACCACTCATTATACAAGTGGCACTTCCCAGTAAGCTGCAACTCGAAAGAGAAATAAATGGAATCGAAATAAACACGAGTTAAATTGGATTCGAAATTGATTTTCAGCAAAGTGAAATTTTTATTATAGTTGGTCTTCATATTTTTAGTAGATAACTACAAAATCATTACTGCTACACCCTGAAAGTAGACAACTTTTTAGAGCTATTCTTGTTACTTTTTAAGCCAAGTGGCACACAAGATGTGATGGAATTTTGTCAGAAATTATAACTTATAATTATAAAGGTTATCATTAACCGAAAAATCAATATACCTACATCCTAAAGGTAGGCATTTGTTTTTTAGCTTTATATACTTTCTCAGTCAAAGTCGTACACCATGTTTGGGTACGAACAAAATCAATATTATTATAATTTGAAAGTAGAAAATATTTTTTTTAACTGTGTTCGTACTTTTTCAATTGAACTTTTAATTATAATCGTTGAAAATAACAGGAAAACTAATATTACCTAAAGGTATGCTATCGTTTTTTTTTTTTTTTTTGTCAATTTTTTCAATCGAAGTCGCACACCTCCTTGTGATGATTTATAATCCTAATTTGAAGAATTGTGCAGCTGATTGTCTTATTTTCGTACATCATGTATTACTGCCTTAAGAAGGTAGGGCAAACCGAACAGAAAATATAAAAGCTTATTAAATTTAGATGTGAAAATAATAACTGCAATAAATTATGTTAGTCATGTAGTCTATATAAAACTAAAAAAGTCTAAATAAAACTATAAAGCAGTCTTATATTGAAGTTTCTCAGCTCTTTCACTTTATATTTCATTAGTTAGTAACAAGCTTTGAGGTTTTCTTTATTGTAGCAAATAAAAAGTTGACTGCACTACTAATTTAAGCGCCTAATCAACACACCAAATGATACCTCAGCTCATATACTTTTATTTCAGAAATACATTTTTTTGAAAGGAATTTTTAGAGCACTTCCCTACCCTTTTCTAGCTTTTCAGAGCATTTTCACTTTAGTAAAAGTATGTGTGCCTACTTCTGCAGTGTGTGCGCCCATTTTCTTTTACTATCTCTTAATTGGCAGCCAAATAAAATTCAACGTAACTTATTATGCAACCAGCTGCCTATTTACACCCACATATACACACACACATGCACACTCTCATACAACTCTCATTCATGCCTTCTATTTATTCAAGCTTTTCACCGCTCCCTGCATTGTTTCGTTGTTTGTCTTGTATATTTGTGTGTGTTTGTGTTAATTTGCTACGAAATTGCTACGTATTTTCCTACCCACTTTACCCAATGCGCACACAAACTGTTTATCTGTGAGTTGTTGCTTTTCTTGTTGGTACTCGCTGCCAGCAAGCAAACGTAGCGTAATTGAAAAACTGACCGCCTCATCAAAATGTAATGAGCAAAAAATTGCAAATTCCTTACCGCCTACGGTAAGAATGTTGGACGAGTTATCACAGTGGATTCGCCGAAGCGCTGCCCGGTTTTATTCACACAGCATTTTTTATTCATAACATTTTTGTAAACCATTTTCTTTTCAAATTTACCTTTGCGGCGCTGCCATATTTCTTTTAACTTGAGCGGAAAAGCTTCGGCTTCGCTCAACATAACTGTTTGTGTGTATTTGTGTGGGTTTTTGCACACATTTGCCATTCGCCAAAAGCGTATGATTGTTTACTGCAATTTCTGCTCATTTTTTCCGCTAATTAAAGACAGGAATTCTCTTAATTGGCTCGCCATATTTTCTATATTTGTCGTTGTTGTTGTATACACGCACACAGAAAGCCAGCAATTTGTAAGTTTGCGAAGAAAAACAGCACGTACAGGTGTAAAAATAGCGAAAATTCGAAAAAAATAAAAATTTCTTTCGCAAACTTCGCTGCCTTGTTTACTCGGTTGGCAATTAAATGACCAACTATTTGCCGGGAAATGCTGAGTGCGTTTTCATGCTGTTGTTTACCTAACCATTTTACGGAATTTTTTTACATAAAGTACACATATAAGTATTTAATATTATTCATATTTTATTTTGTATGAATTGTTTGCTCTTATGTAGCAATAAAAATATGATTATTTTTTTTTTCAAAAAGCAAAAATATTGGAACTGCTCGTTTACTTGTATATATTTTCATATATAAAGTATATAATTGCATATATAAATTCCTGGCAGCGTCAGCTGTTCATTTTAATGCCAACACTTTTTTCTTCAGCTGCGCTTCCAACTAAGCGCCCTCGAGTGCTTGGTTAGCCGTGCTTGATATGTAAGTACAGCTGTGCTTGTTTGCTCGCCGCATAGCAAACGAGCCACTTGACCCACTCAGTACACATAAACCACTTATCAGCATATCGCAAGAGCTACTTAGTAACTGACCTGTAACATACTTAGCAATATTACCATAGCAGTATGTATATAATTAATGTACAAACATTTTTACATGCATATATATATTTCAATACATAAAGAAAATATATACATATATATATATATGCATTTACATACATAAAAAAAAAGACATATAGAAATATATATATATATATGAATAAAGACCTTTCACAACACTGCATGCCTTAGGATAGCCTTCAGTTTTCCTCCTCACACTCTTTGCAATCATTCGCTGCTTCGCCTGCTTTTCCAGCACTTAAGTGTATTCTTCGGTGCTTGGTGAACTGAAAGCTTTTCAAATCGATTTTTTATATTTTCTGCTATCTGCTTTATTCCCACTTTCATCGTTTTTAGTGTCCAACCCTCTTCATTGCAAAGCCACTAACTGTCATAGTTACATGGTTATATTGCTTCAAGTTGGTTGGCTCTATATATAGGAATGTTTATATGTATGCAAGTATATTGCCCTCAATAATACCTGTTATAATGGTTATGACGCACAACGAACAAAGAGTCCATGCAAAGCACTCTTTTCATTTGTGTCAAGTCAATGGCGGCCGTTCAATTGAATTGTAAACATCAATGAGACGCTCTTCCCCATTTATGGGCGTTAGACACCACAAAGTAGAAATAACTTGTAATTGATATTTCGTTTGGTGTGGAAACTGGTACAAAAATATGGTGAAACGATTATGAAAGGGATATTGGTAATGGATCGATAATGCCGAGCCAGGAGGGAAATAAAAAATATAATATAAATATATATAAAAAAGATACGTAAACATATTTATACTGCATATACGTATGTATATGTGCTTATGTAAAAGAATCTTTGACTATAGCGTTGTAGCGTTGACAGTTTAAAGTAAAAGTTTTTGTTATCAAAATTAATTCATACCTCCATACATTGAATATGTATATATAGTTTTTAAAGACTAATGAGTTAGAGAGTCGTGCTCTTAAAAGGATGACGGCTTCGAATAATAAGTCAGTGGAGGATATTAATGATGACTTGGTTAAGTTTATAGGCGAAGGAAAATGATGTAATAGAAACTCTCATATTGAAACAAAATTTTGGTTCTGGTTATAAAATTATTGTGTACTTATATACAAAACCGATTTTATTTTTTTTAAAAGCTTATGTTTTAAAGTTCATTTTAAATTGAATAAGAAATTGAAAATTATTTTTTCATATTT